CTGATTAGCTTTCGTACTGTGGACTGGTAGCTCGGCGGGGATACGCCCACCGAAGGGAGGTGACAACTCCCGTAAGGTGTAGGTAAGTCGTGCCTCGCGTAGGCCCTATCCTGTCGTAGGGGCTCGCGAGAGGTATGGCTGGCGCACTCGGCCGGAGCGGCTTGCGGAAGCTCCATATATATTTGCTACGAAGGAATTAAACCAACTCCTGCGTGACGCGGCCGGGAGGGTCCCGCGCTGCCCCCGTGCGATGCCGGACCGATGCGCCCGACAACGTTCACGGCTGGCAGGGGTCAGTTGTGATTGAGGTTCCGGCTGGGGAACGAACCGAACACAAGGAGTGTTGCTGCTATCGATGGAGGCGGCGTAAGGCGAACCAGCGCGTCATCAACAGCCAACCGTGGATGAGCCTTACACTGCTAGGCGAGATAATTGCAGGTGAACAGTGGGGTTTGGTTACTTACCTTCTGGTCTGAGTATCGCCCATCCGCGGTGCAAGGTTGGAGACTTACCTGTTGGCCGACTAGCTGCTTGTTCGGCCGACGGATGTTGCAGTGAGACCAGTTACGAAGGCAGCAGATCTATGGGTTAGACCACGGCCCACATTTGAGCAAGCCGCAGGGGCACGTACCAAAGTGGCTGGAGCACTGCGATCTTGGGCTGGAGCCGACGCTCTTCGGGTCACGGGCGTTGCGGTATGATTTTTGAGGCGAATCTAGACATGCAGCACCTTGCTGCTCCATCTCGTTGTACTCCGTAGCAAGGGGGCCTAGTCGTTGGGCATGCTTGCTACGGTTTGAGCGTGGTACACTTTGGCAGGACAGCGTCCGCAAGTCAGTCAGGACAACGTCATGGCTTGGTGGCATTACCGCGATTTGGAAATCCGTCAAGGGAAGGCGGTGTTCGATAGTTTGATTTCAGTTGACCAGTGACTGCGTATTTTGGCCACCATTGCGGGGCCCTCAGGCGCAAGAAGGTTACAAGGCCCTCTCTTGAGAGTTGAGTCAGTCCCCTCCTTGTATCCCGCGAGTCTGAAACCCCTCCTTCTGTCTTTCTAACTCTCAGTCTAGTCCTTGGTTCTGAGGGGAAGGCGGCAGGCGGGATTGCAACCCGTAGGACCGCATCAAGACTCTGCGGGGAGTCCACCCATCGATTGAGGGAGCTCTGCCGGAACCTAGGAGAGGTTCTGGAGGCAGGGAACTATCACGTATACATTTCTCTATCTGTATCACCCCACTATACCCCTGCTTGCCTATCTCCCTTTAGGTTGACTGATGTATGCATGGGACTGCCCCTATGGCTTTTGTCTTCTTTCAGGACTTAATCAAACTGAATGGAAGGAATGTATGAGAGTGAAGCGTAAGTTTCAACTTTATTTTGATTGAAACCAGGCAAAGGGGTGAAACTGGGGGAAGCTGGGAGAAAGGCAGACTGCATGCGTTTGACCGGATCAACCAAGGACTAGGCATTGTTTCTAAGTTGAATGGCCCAGGGCTGTGTTTATTTGGCTGTTTTCTGAAGGGTCAGGCATTGTTTCTAAGCTGAATGGTCTGGTTGCTATGTTTATTTTCGGAGGGTTTGCCTGATGTAAAGGGTTTTCTTGTTTTGTTCTGAGGGAGGATTTTGGTCTAAGGTTGAGCATTGTTTCTAAGCTGAATGGTTTTACCTGAAAACCTCGCACATAAGTACAACCTGAGTATAAAAGAAAATATTTTACTTATATTTGCACGTGAGCTGGCAGCTGGGCATTGTTTCCAAGTCGAATGGTCCAACGCTAAGCCATATCACGAAGAAGAGAAGGGAAATTACCGAATATAACTGGAAATAGTCAGGCAAGCTGCACATTGTTTCCAAGCCGAATGGTTCAGTCCCCTGCCCATATTTGCATTTTCTTTTAAGAACAAAGTCAGAAAGTTATTAAATTTTGGATATTTAACAGTTTAGGGCGATTAGGCATTGTTTCCAAGCCGAATGGTGTAGTCATATGCCCAAAGAAGGGAGAACTAGTAGTGCAATCTGTTCATGTATATCCTAAAGGCATGCTAGACATTGTTTCTAAGCTGAATGGTCTAGCACTATGCCATATGTAAGCTGGGTATGGAGTACTTACTCCTCGTGGTTTGGCGTACATGTGACTAAGTGTGATTACTACTTGGTCTGAGTTTCAGTTTGACAGGTAGTTGCTTTAGAAGCTCGCCACGTGCTAGAGCGATAGGAGTTAGTTCAATTTTCTGCATTTTCTGAGCTATCTTTATTTTACTTAGATCAGTTCCGCATTTTTTTAGATCTTTTGTTATACTTGGCTTTGTATAAATTTTGGTAAGCTACTGTCTCTACGGGAAGCGCTTCCGAAACTTCTGCAAATCCAAGGAGTTAGTCAAATTTTGGCTTTTCAAAGTTCAACTTGTCTAAATTTTATACATGACTTAGTGGGAAAATCTGGAAAGTCCCATTTTATAAAGGGAGTGTTGTCCAAATTTTTGCTAATTCAAGGAGTTAGACAAAATTTGACTTTGAAAAATCAAAGACTATTTCCTTTTTCATATTCGGGATGATATAAATTCTAAAAAGACACTTTTCCTACGGGAAGCGCTGCCGAAATTTCCTTCGTTTAAAGGAGTTAGATTATATTTTGACAGGTGGCAATCTTGGAAAATCTACTCTGTATAGAAGAGATTCTGCTAGGGTCTACCTTTCTTTTGGTATTTGCTTAGAGGTATGAAATCAGTCTTGCAAATTCACACTCAAACATGCATGCAACAAATGAGAATAACTTGGCGCTGTGCACCCAACTCAAACTCGGAGATATGGTAGCTTGCAACTCAACTCAAATCCAAGTTTACTTCAGTTGGCTATGG